AGAAAAGAAAGAAAAGAAAGAAGAGCGATGAGTTGGGAAGAGGAAGGGGATCAGCAGGAGCAGGAGGGGAATGGGAGCAGGTATCAGGAGAGGGAATATGATAAAAATACATTATATATGAAAATACTGTAATGAAACCCATTATTTTGAATAATCAACATATGCTAATAAAGAATACACACTTTAGGCTGGGCGTGGTGGTTCCTGCCTTTAATTTCAGCACTCAGGAAGCAGAGCAGGCTGATCTTTGTGAGATCAAGGCCAGTCTGATCTAAGTAGTAAGTTCCAGACCAGCTAGGGCTATAGGGAGACCCTGTCTCAAAACAAACAAAAAGAATACACATTTTATATAAGAAACTATTCCCTGTTACACTACTGAGTGGTGTAGTTCACAGAGAAGTTATGTAAGTTTTCTGTCTTTTTTTTTTTTAAGCTTTCTGTCATTTTAGCAAGTGCTTGAGACACTTTATTAAGAAAAAAGGGTTATTTTGGCTTATGTTTTTAGACTTTACAGTCAATGGTAGGTTGTTCCTATTGCTTTTAGAAATGTAGTGAAGTAGCACTTTGTGAGAGAGAGAGGAAGCAACCCTCTGAAGCATACCCCAATGACTAGAGACTTGCTATTAGGTCTGATGGAATCAAATCAGAGCCCCCCCAGATTAAAGTGAACTGAAAATAAGTCTCCCAGGCTATATTCTGGGAAGCTGTACAAGGAAGTAAAAGGAAAATAATTCTAACTGAAGAGAAGAAAAGATGACCTTTTCATGCTTCCTTGCCCAAGCTGGAAAAATACCCGAAAAATCCCCCTCCCACTTCTGCTGTGACCTGAATGCTGCTGTGACCTAATTGCTTGTGGTTTGTGGTTTCTGTCTATATAAGCAAGCTTAAGCTGAATTCTGCACTTCCCCTTTTGATCAAGGTGGAAGGCCGTCTATAGACGAAATAAATCCTCTTGCAATTGCATCTTTGAGGACTGAGTTATTGGGGTGCGGCCTCCCGAGAATGTAGGGTACCCCAGTTTGGGGGTCCTAAAAGATGAGGGAGAACATATGCCTTTTGTTTTTCTGATCCATGTTACAGTTTCTAGATCCATCCATTTACCTGCAAATTTCATGATTTCGTCTTTCTTTACTGCTGAATAGAACTCCATTGTGTAAATGTACCACATTTTCATTAACCACTTGTCAGTTGAGGGACACTTAAGTTGTTTCCATCCCTTAACTATTGTCAAAAGAGCAGCACCAAACATGGTTGTACAAGTGTCTCTACAATAGGATGAGTCCTGTGGGTATATGTGGTATAACTAGGTCATATGGTAGGTTCTCCACACTGTTTTCCATAGGGGTTGCACGAGTTTGCAATCCCACCAGCAGTGAATGAGCATTCCGCTTTCTCCACATCCTTCCCAGCATTTGGTATCACAAAATAATATTCTATAAATATGAGAAAAAACAAATTCCTCTTGCTGACATTTTGATTTCCTCTATTTTAAGTATATTGAAAAAAATTCTTGTGGATTTTTCATTGCTAGATGAGTCATAAGTCCAATAAATCTACTAAATTGAAATTAAATAGAGATGATTTCAGGAGACAAACATAAAAGCTGGGCAAAGTCAGAGCTTCAAACACCTTTAACACTGTCTCCTTGCCTGGCTTTGAATTCAGAATGGCACAAAGCCATCTGAGTTACTGGGGAGGTGACATTCCACAGAGGTACATGGTAAGATGGAAAACAAAGCTAAAAGGCTTTCTTTGGGAAAGGAGAACTTTTGCAGTCTGTATAAATTTATGCATTTATACATGTAACTTCAAAGAAACAACTTCTGTGACTATGTATAGATGTGGTGGTTTGAAGCAAAATGTCTCCAAGTGGCTCCAAGTGTTTGGACATTTTTGTCCCCAGATGATGATGCTGTTTGGGGAGGTTTTAGAAGGTGTGGCTATCCTGGAGGAAGTATGTCAGTGGGGGTGGACTTAGAGAGTTCTTGAGCTTTGCCACATCTCCAGTTGTCTCTCTTGCTTCCTGTGCCTGCATGATGATGTGAGAGTTGAGCTTCTGCTCCTTCTCCAGCCACCTCCAGCCACCATGCCTCCCTGCCATGACAGACTGTAATTCCCCTGGAACTGTAAGCTCAAATAAACTCTTCCTTCTATAAATTGCTTGAGCCAGTGTTTCTATCACAGCAACAGAAAAGTGGCTAATACAGTAATTGGTACCAGAGAGTGGGCTGTTGACTGTAAAGAACCTGACCATGTGGGGTTTTGGAGCAATGTGGAAGACTTTGGAAGTTTGGGCTAGAAAAGTGGTTGATTGCTGTAAACAGAGCTTAACAGGCCTTTACAGTAAATGCCTGGAAGAACAATGTTCTGAGAGCAATGTAATCCTAGATAGAAATAAGGACTTAAGCAGCACTTGGGATATTTTGGCAAAGTCTGGCTGGAGTCTGCCCTCAACCTAAAAGCTTGCCTGAGGCTAAGTTGAAAAGCAATGGACTAATTTCTCTGGTGGAAGAAATGTTGACAGCCTAATGTAGAAATGGTGGTGTGGCTATTAATGGTGAATATTATGCAGATCTGCAGTGAAAAAGAGCAAATGAGGCAGAAAGAACTACAGTTTGGATTAAAAAAGAGCACTAGGAATTATCTTCCCTGGCTGGAGCCCTGGCATGTGAAGGAGAGGATCCCATTGATAAGGAGATTAAAGTGATTAAAGGAGGGGTCTAGAGATTCAAATTTAAACAAGGGAGAGAGTGCCTCCAGGGCAAGACCACACCCAGTTAAGCCTCCAAATTGTGAAAGGAAAATGCTGCAGGAACCACCGAAGAGAAAAGCTTCTAAAATGGATAAAGCAGGCTGGAGTCCATCCCAAACTCACAGTCAAACTTGGCAGTGTCCTTCACCTGGTGCTACCTTTAGAGGCATGAAAGATGCAAGAGTGAAGCGGTCATCAATTCTTCCTTCGAGGTTTCAGAAAGCCTCAGAGGCCAGGCAGGGTGAAGCAGGGGTTCCCCTGCCTAGAGAAGGCCCTGATAGGCCATTGCATGAAGTTGTAAAGGTGAAGCTTGTTTGGCAATGGAGACCCCAAGAAGATGTCTGTAATGCCAGAGCTGTGAGGCATCTGCCAAGAAGATCTGCACACAGGGAGTGGTACCAGCACAGGAGAGAGATGTGTGTTCCACGCAGCAAAGCTAGAGAGGCTGAGCCATCTAAACCCTTTGGAAGTCCCAGAAATTGGATGTTGAGCTACTGGATTTGGTGTTTGCCCTGCTGGTTTTCAGTCTTGTTTTGGTCTGGTGTTTCCTTACTATGCCTCCATTCCTCCCTTTTGTAATGGTAATGTGTATTCAGTTCCACTTATGTTGGGAGTATGTAATTTGTCTTTTGATTTTATAAAGGCCTACAGTTAAGATATTTACCTAAATCCACTTTGGACTCTTTATTTTTGAATAGTATTGAGACTGATAATGACTATGGGGAATTTGAAAGTTGGACTAAATACATTTTGCATTTTATATGATCATGAGCCTATGGGGGTCAGGGGGTAGAATGTAGGGGTTTGAATGAAAACATCTCCCATAGGCTCCAAGTGTTTGGACATTTTGTCCCCAGATGATGGCACTGTTTAGGAAGGTTTTAGAAGGTGTGGCTATCCTGGAAGAAGCATGTCACTGCGGGTGGGCTTAGAGAGTTCTTAAGCCTTGTAGGATCTCCAGTTGTCTCTCTTATTTCCTGTGCCTGAGTGATGATGAGTTGAGCTTTTGCTCTTCCTCCAGCCACCTCCAGCCACCATGCCTCCTTGCCATGATGGACTGTAATTCCCCTGGAACTGTAAGCTCAAATAAACTCTTCCTTCTACAAATTGCTTGGGTCAATGTTTCTATCAAAGCAACAGAAAAGTGACTAATACAATAGACTAATAGTTTTCAAAATAATCTCTGATGCAGGGCATGGTGGTGGCTCTGCCAGTTCCAGGGAGGCAGAGACAGGTGGATCTCAATGGGACTGAGGCCACCCTGGTCCACATCGTGACTTCCAGGTGGACTGTGATAAGGAAGGCCCTGTTAAAAGCAAGCAAGCAAGCAAACAAGCAAGCAAACAAGCAAGCAAGCAAGTAAGCAACAAACAGAACAAAATAATACCCTGACTGTAGAAATGATAACGTTTTCTTGAAAAATATGTGGTCTGAGAAAGAGACTGTGAGCATTGGTTCATTTCATCTGTATGATATTCTAGGAAA